AGGTAATTGGGAAGGGATTGAAATTACTTTTAGGCATCTGCAGAAGTCAATCCTCCCTTATTGGGAGTAATCAATGATGTCAAAGGTTCCCCGGCCGCAACAAGGGGAAGCGTGCGGTGGACATAATTGCAATGACTTGCTGTTTCTGGTCACCTGTAGCCTCTCTCTGTCGAGGCTGTACTATAGGTAGGATAGATTCGTAATTTTGTTTGGCTGAGGGCTAACCGAGAGACCTACCTGTAGGGGAAATTCGTGAGGGACATATCTGCAAATTTGGGAAAATATAAGCCCAGCACTAACTGAATTTCCTACTGCTACCCTAACTGCGAATAGCAGGCCCGGGCTAACCCTAGGACAGACAGGCCTAAAGGCCTATGCTGATAGACGGTCCTATAGCCTATAGCCGGGTAAGGTAGAGGCCAAGGAGAGGCCGAAACAGAATCGGTACTGGTCGGTCAGTCAGTCCGGTCTAAGTCGAGTCTAGGCTACTTTAGTCTATAGATAGGATGGACACATCGGTTCAGGGCTTTTGGCAGTTGGTACCGAGTACATAGCTGCTGCGCTACGCGTGAACCGGAAGTGGTGACGGCTCAGTGTTGTGGGAGACAGACATAGCCAGACCTTCGGAGCGCCGGCCATAGCTGGGACCTGCGCTGTACTCTGTCAGCACGAGGGGCTGTACAGAGGTCTGGGTTATCAGAGGTCTGCTGGACGCGAGAGAAGTTGGTGCCCTGCTGGACCCTCCTCTGGAGTGGGGTCACAGGGTTATGGCGCTGCAGCCATAGCTGCAGCTTCCTCCTCAGAGGTCATCTGGTCAGGGTTTGGTGGCGCTGCTGCAGACTTCCACCCGGGAAGTCTTCCGACACTTTGTCATCATCAGATACTGTGGCGCTGGTCTTCTTCTTCACCCTCTGAGTGGCGCTTGGCCTCAGAGGCCTGTTTCAAGGTGGCGCTGCCCTCTGGAGGCAGTACTTGGGTGGCGCTTGATGTTTCAGGGGCTCAGGGGTGTTACGGGTGGTTACTCAGGGTTGGGGAGTGAGGCGCTGCTCACTTCTGAGCAGCGCACTGTAGTTCTGAGGTTATCCTGACAATTCAAGACTCTGAGTGTAATAAACCTAGGGCGAAATCCCGGGCGCCCGGGTCCCGATGCCACGCCCGTTTTGACAACCGGGCGACTGGCCGACCGGCCAGTCGGAACGCCCAGTCGGGCCCCCGGGCCTGAAATGCGCCGACCCGCGAATTTTTTTTTTTTTCGATTTCGGGCTCTGGGGGGTCGAAGCTGCCTCGCAGAGCCCCTGACGCCGCCAAAAAAAAAATATTCCCGGTACCTACCGGGTGCTGGGAGCTGTTTCAAATCAGGCGATTTCTGGCCGTCGATCTTGAAGATCGACAGACAGAAATCGCCCGATTTGAAAGTGTTTCCCCGCGCGATTTCGCATGCGGGCAGATCCCGAATGCTGTGTCGAAATCGAGCGGGCGAAGTGTGCTTCGACTCGCTCATCGGCCCCGCTGTTCCGTGCCATCGTGCCCTGCCGCCGTGCCCTTCCGCAGCCCGCCATCGCTTTCCCGCAGCCCGCAAGGTAAGTAGTCCGGTTCTTCTTCTTCTTCTTCTTCTTCTTCTTCTTCTTCTTCTTGGTCATCATCGTCGTCGTGTGTGTGTGTGTGTGTGTGTGTGTGTGTGTGTG